GGTCTCGCTCCCTTGGGTAAAAGATGGGTGCTTCTCTGAGAACAGCACTCACTCCAGGGTTAAAAGGCCATGTGTAGAGACCACCACCACCACCACAATGCTACAGGGACCATGTGCACTATTGCGTAATATTTTATGAGACAGATCACAACTCCATTCTGTGTGTTATGGTGAATGTCAATGTATTTATAGTGCTTTGTAGTCCTATAACCCCTTTCATGAATGCTTAAAGGTCCTATATTGTCTTACATTGACTCTTGTGAGCTATTAGAATGTTGTTATCTCATCAAAAACAAACCTGGTATTTTGTGTCATTCACAATTCTTTGAGTAATCCTGCATTATTACGCTGTATACCTCTCCAGAGCTCAAAATGCTCTGTTCCAGTTTGTGATGACATGTAGAGGTAGTTTTCAAGTTAACAGCTTCCTTTTACCTTTTGTTCAGTAGAGATTGGCATTTTCAGGGTTAGTGAAGGCATATGGAGTTTAAAAACACAGTGGAGGAGTTCCTGTTGTACCACATGACTTTACAAGGTGGAGCAGAGAGTTTTCTGTTTAACTTGTGAATGAAGCACAGCTCTGGGTATGTTTTTTGATGAGAAAATATCATAACATAGATCAGAAAATAGTGTAATATAGGCCCTTTAAAGTAATCTTGCAATGTCTTGCAATCGAAGCTTGAGTGCTCAGAAAATTCCTATTTTATCCCCTATACTTTTGTTTCCTGTAGGCCTACTTGCGATTATTAAACCCAAGCTGTCTTATGATATAATCGTCAAAGTTAGTGCCAGGAATTATATTGTTGTTATGGGGTCTGTCCATAGAAGTCCCACTTGGAGACCTGGTGGTGCTGGCTTTGCCAAGCGGGTGAAGAGGTGCAGGGTTATACATGTGGGGTTCAAAACTGTCACGTCTGCATTTTTCACTAATAAAAACCTGAACATATGCCACTTGCTACAGTGAAGTAACACTATGAAGACCCAGGACCTATCAGTTCTGTAGTTTTGAACTGGAAGTCAATGGACCCATTTCTCATAAGCAGTTTTAACCCTCTTGTTTTAGGTGATTTTAATATTCACATTTGCTGCCCCTCAAAACCTTTAGTAAAAGACTTTGTAATGACGGCTGAAAGTTTCAACCTAACCCAACTTATACAAACACCCACTCATGAAAAAGGACACATTTTGGACCTTGTTTATTTTTCAGGCTTCACTATCTCAAATCTAGATATTTTTGACTGTGGTGTATCAGATCACTTTATGATCACTTTTGAATGCCTGCTAACATGCCCCATGATTAAACCCTTACCTCATAGCTCTACCCGATTGATCCGCTCTTCCACAGCACCACGTTTCTCTGAATTGTTCACTGCCCATCAGCAGTTTGGGGCCCCTGAGGGCCCAATTGCCTGCGCAAACACAGAAGACCTAACAAACTATTTCAACTCCCTATGCTCAGAAATTCTGGACTCTGTTGCCCCCAAAAAACCCAGAAGACCCAAAGTTAAAAGTACATTAACACCGTGGATGACTCTACTCGCACACTTAGACAAATGTGTAGAAATGCAGAAAGAACATGGAAAAAGGACAAGCTTCACGTATCTTTTGAAATATTTAAATCATCACTAAAGTGCTACCAGAAAGCGGTACAGTCTGCGAAAAGTGAATATTTTTCCAACATCATCGAATCAAATGCTCATAAACCTCAAATCCTTTTCCAAACTCTAAACTCCCTATTACATCCTCAGTCTTCACATCCCTGCCTCACCACCTCAGTGGACTGCTGTGAACTGTTCAAGGACTTCTTTATGAATAAAATAACTAACATTAGAACACAGATTATTCGTCCCCCCAACCCCCCCCAAATCATGCCCCATGCTACCCACCACCTCGCTGAATTCAGGCAAGTGTCTCTCCCTGAACTAACTGAGGCTCTTGCACATCTCAAACCCACGAGCTGCTACCTGGACATTTTACCTGCAGCCCTCTTTAAAGACGTATTTCCCTGTACCCACCCAAGCATCTTAGCCATCATAAATTCATCTCTACGTAGTGGTGCTGTTCCTACATTCCTTAAAAAATCTATTGTGCATCCGCTTATCAAAAAGGCAAATTTGGACACTGAAGATGTATCAAACTACAGGCCCATATCCAAATTACCATTCATGGCAAAAATTTTGGAAAAAATTGTGTTTAATCAGGTTTCAGCTCATGTTAACACTCTACATATCCTTGACAAGTTCCAGTCTGGTTTTCGCAAGCATCATAGTACTGAATCTGCTCTGGTAAAGGTCTACAATGACATCCTTCTCACGCTTGATTCCGGCTCCTCAGTTGTATTAATTTTATTGGACTTAAGTGCAGCCTTTGACACAGTTGACCACCAGATCCTCCTAAAACGCCTGCAGCATACGGTTGGCTTGCAGGGCTCAGTCATAAAATGGTTCTCATCATATCTGTCAGGAAGATCCTTTGCAGTCAAAGTTGGTGAGAGAGTGTCTACTTCTGCTCCTGTCACGTGCGGCCTGCCCCAAGGGTCCATCTTAGCGCCTCTTTTATTTTCTTTATACATGCTCCCCCTGGGTTCAATCCTAGAAAAACATCAGATTAAGTACCACCTTTATGCTGACGACACCCAGCTCTATCTTCCTGTTTCCCCAAAAAACGTCTCATCCTTTGTTACCCTCCATACCTGCCTTGCGGAAATAAAAAACTGGATGTCCTTTAACTTTCTTCAGCTAAACGAAAATAAGACTGAAGTTATCCTATTTGGACCTAACACTGACACCCTCAAATCTGACCTTGGACCTCTTGCCACAAATTTGCACGGTTCAGCAAAGAACCTTGGTGTTTTTATGGACTCTCTTTTAAACTTTGACAAACAGATCGCAAATGTTGTTAAAACTAGCTTTTTTCAACTCAGACAAATTGCCAAATTAAAACCAATCCTATCATTCAATAACTTTGAAACAATCATTCACGCCTTTGTAACAAATAGACTGGACTATTGTAATGCACTATATTCAGGCCTCCCACAATCCTCCATAAACAGGTTACAGTTAATTCAAAATGCTGCTGCCAGACTGCTCAACGGTTCCAAAAAGAGAGACCATATTACACCCATCCTAGCCCAACTCCACTGGTTACCTGTTAAATACAGAATTGATTTTAAAATTGTATTATTTGTTTTTAAATCACTTAACTCACTTGCGCCACAATACATCACTGATCTTTTAACCCCCACACAGCCTCTCGGTCTCTCAGGTCAAACTCGCTCAACCTCCTGTCCATCCCACCATCCCGCCTCAAAACCAGGGGAGGCCGAGCCTTCTCTGTTGTTGCCCCCAAGCTTTGGAATTCCCTCCCTCTTCCCCTGAGATCTTGCTCCTCCCTATCTCACTTTAAAACCCTCCTAAAAACACATTTTTTCAAGATGGCATTTAACAGCCCATGAGCTCTATTTTAAACTATTTTTTTTATGCATCAAGTAACTCGTCTATGTAATATTTTATATTTGTGTTAGTGTTTTCATTATGTTGTGTTTCATGCTGTAAAGCACTTTGGTGCAACTTGTTATGGTTGTTTTTAAATGTGCTATATAAATAAAATGACTTGACTTGACTTGACTCTCCAGGCAGGCGTTGCAGATTTGCAACAGCTAAATTCCAATTACCTACTTATTCCACATCCATATTATATGACCTTTTTTTACTCAGGAGCCTTTTCTCCCATCCATGCTGATAAACGTTGGCGATGCAGACTGTGCAAGAATGGCTACACGCAAACGGCCTGCCAGAAGTGCAAAATACTTTTTTTTTTAACAAAGGATAAAAAAGTCAGAATTGTATATTACTACCCCATATTATAATTTTCCCCAAATATCAGATTTTTCCTGATACTAAAAATTAATTTGAGCCTGAGAGGGTTAATAATATTGCCATTTACAATGAACAAAATATAAAATAATGATCAATGTTATGTTACGTGTAAAACTAAGAAATAGCATAATATATTGTCTTTGAACACAATGCCAAGTATGTTCATTATGTTATGTTATTATAACAGATCAGAAAATAGTGTAATACTGGTCCTTTAATATGCAGTTCCTTGAAAGCCAAACGTGAATGCAGTGTGTGCTTTCAACATGTTTTTTCATGTACCACAAGAAACTGATTTGTTCTGATTTAAAACACCCCGAAGAGCTGGAGCTTTAGCCCAGGCCTCTAACTACTGTAATGTTGCCCTTGGGTCCATAATGTGGTTAGAACAGTCACTTTCTTAAGCTTGAGTGCCACAATGAAAAAAATTGAATGCACTTACAGAAAGCACTTCAGTTAAATTCCTACTGATGTCAAGCACTATACACAGATAAAGTTTGATTGATTGAAATGTCATCGCTGCAGTAATTAGTTTTATGTTATGAATAAAATTAAGATCTTGTGGTTTATTGTGTGTTTTATTTGTTCAATCCCTTTTTATGTAGCAAGTATCGATTAGGTTTGTATACTTAGAAGGGGTCATTACATCATTACACTGTCTTCTGAACTATGTTATAATGTTGTTTCCTCATCAAAAACATACCCAGAGTTGTGTTTTGTTTCATTCACATGTTTAACACACGAATCCTGCATATTTAGGCTGAGTTCTTCTCTCAAACAAAAACACTGTCTTCCGTTGTGTGATGCCATGTGGTAATACAGGAAGAGTTCCACTGTGTTTTTGAACTCCATGCACCTTCACTAGTATCATTTGGATAATTTCAGCCCTAGAATTGCCAATCTCTACTGAACTAAAGGTTAAAGATAGCTGTTAACTTGAAAAGTTTGCTTCATGAAAACACAAAATAGAAGTTTTGAGCTTTGGAGATGTGACAGACTAATAATACATTTTTACTAAAACGAGTAAATGAAATAAGACACAACTCTGTGCATGCTTTTGATGAGGTCACAAGAGTCAGTGGCACATAATATAGGTTAAGCTGTATATTTATTTGTTTTCAGGGCGTCAACATCGTGGAATCCAGTAATGCAGATCCCCCTCCACCACGACCTCCGAGTCCAGCCATGTACCAGCTGGATATCGTCCTAAAGAAAGGGAACAACCTGGCCATCCGAGATCGAACAGGTAGGTTTATGTTATTCAAATGTAGGGAGACATATTTATAGCACACACAGAACTGTTCATATTCCAGTTTCTATCTTTATTGTCTCATCAGACTGCTGCACAGCGCTAGATAATGTTTTTTTATAGCCACTTATGCTTTGATGTGGCTTCATTTCTTCCTCCCTTTGAGCTGTGACTATGTGGAGTAAGTGAATTTGAATGGGGAGGCGTGATGTGGCACTTTTCCTATGTACTGTGGCATGGTAAGTATTCAGCTGCTGGCTTAAGAGAGAGCACAGCAGTATTTTTAGCATGACAGTGGATACAGTCACGATCCCCTCATTACATTGGTATAATAGGGTTAAGCTGTATTGTAAATCTATTTACTACCATATTTCTAATAGTCATGGTGCTGTGAAAACACCCCCACTAATACTCATGTTATAGCATTGAAAAGGAACCATAATAAAGTCTAAATCTTTCTTTAGAGAGTGGTTTTGGAGGTGATGGACACATTGGTCTCGTTAGTGGCTGAAGGGGGGTGCCATGCCGAGAGAATCTCTGCTGTATATTTTACCTGACTCTCCGTCCCCCTGGATAATGAGCATTGTAGAGCGGCTCCCTCGACCTGTCTATGTGCCAGAGTGCATCTTGACAGCTCATTACAGACACAGCCCATACACAAATAACACAAGGTCTAAATGAAGTAATATTAGTCATGCTGGCAACACAAAGCAATGCTCGACTACATAGAGATAAATACAGCCATTGAGTGCCACCATGTAATAATTCATGTAAAGTCATGCTAAACTGGCTGCCTGAGGAGATGTATTCTTGAAATGGAAGGACGTATTTATGCCTCTACCTTTCAAATCTCAATATTTCGTTACTTTAGAAGATCATGAAAGCAAGGCCACAGATTTGAAGCTTTGATCAGGTTTCAGGTTTTCATTAATTTTGTCTCATGGAGAAATTTGGCTCAGAGCAAGGGTGAGCAGCAATAACATGATGTGTTAGTGTGTTTTTATTTTTTTTAATGTGTTATTTATTTATTTATTTATTTGAAAAGGGACATTGCACAGTAATCAACATTACACAATGTAAATTAACAGATTGAGCTCATGTTCATCTGTAGTACTTGTCTAAGAATGCAATCACAACAAATATTACAACATATACAATAAAATTGCAAAGACAAGCATATTATATACAATCAGTGCTCACAAATCTCTGTTTCCACTAGACATTTTTGACATTCTTTTTAAGAGAGAGGAATGAAGGAAATTTTCTAATGGTCTCTGTGACAGTGTTCTATTGTCAGGAAGCTCTAAGGCAGAAATGTCAAACTCAGGCCCGGGGGCCAAATTTGGCCCGCGATATAATTATTTTTGACCTGCAAGATCATATGAAATATGTATTAGAGCTGGGCCTCCAGCTACAGATAGACATAGATTCATTATTTATTTAAAATTTTGTTATTATTTTATATTATGCTTGTTCTGGATTCAATGTTTAAGTAAAACTATTGTTAAACATTTATTTTAATAAGAAAAGGTATAACATTACATATCTTGAAAAAAAAAAAAACATGCATATGTTGATGAAATTTTTCAATAATATAATATATAATAATATATAGTTTTTCAATATTTAATTTGGCCAACGACTTTTTTGAGTTTGGCACCCCTTCTCTAAGGTAAAGGACGGCCTGACCAAATGCAGTTATTTTGATAAATATAAAGATGATACCAAATCAGTCAATCAGTCCCATCTCTGATTATACATAAGTTGTGTCTTTGGGCAAGACATTTTACCTACTTTGCTTTAATATTATCTGGTTTGCCTGAGTTTGATTTGTAGTCTTTGGAGGGGCTCAGGTTTCCAGTCACGCTTCCTTTAAGGCAGACAGAAGGAGTTTATCACCTGCATAGAGAAAGGAGAGATTGAAAAATGCTCCAATGTGAGTTTTAGTGTCTCGAAAAGTACTGTATAAGCCTAAAACAGGGGTGTCAAACTCATTTTGGTCTGGGGGCCGTATTCAACCAACTTTGATCCCAAAGGGCCCGGATCAGAAAACTCATGGCATATAAACCCCAAAAATAACAATAAGTTCAAATATTTGTGCAGAGAAACACAAATCTATTACAGAAATCTTTTTTGATTGATGAACTCTTTCTTTTACAAAATATTATATTATTATGAACAACCTGAAACTTTAAGATAAATACAATTTCAACACAAACATGAACTTGTTTGCAAATAGGAATAACTAAATTTTTGTTGTAAAATCCTGCAATCGGCTCCACTTTTCTCATGTTGGACATTTTTCTGATGAGGGTGTTACGATCAACAGTCAAAACGATTGTCCTATAAGAGCGTTTGGAAAGAGACAAGTCTTCATTTGTGCTGCTCTGGTGGGAGGGGCCACGTACAGAGACGCTGGAGATGCTGCTGTGATAAACACCACAGAAAATTAACAAGATTTTAATAGAAAATATCATTAAAATATTTAGTAGAAAATCAGCCAAGGGCCAGATTAAAGGTCTTGGAGGGCCGGATCTGGCCCCCGGGCCGTATGTTTGACACCTGTGGCCTAAAGGATCACCTTTAATACTATAACAAGGCTAATGTGTTTTATAGGCTATATTGGATATAGAACTGTTATTGTTTTTCAACATATCAGAATAAAATACTAACTAAGTAACTAATTCAGAACTGGTTCAAGAAATACAGCAAATCATATATCTAACTGAAAGGATCCTCAACTTATCAGACAGCCTTCCCCTTAGACTCTCCTGTCACTGCAGCTCAATAGATTCAATATGACCTATGGAAGAGGCTCCATCCTGGTAATGGGAATCCCCCAGAGCCACAGCCATCCATCAAAACTGACAGGACACAGGGCCAGGAACAACCGGAGAGCTTATCGGAGAGAGAAGTCATTCCAGGATCCTGCACGACCGAGGAGTTTTATGGGCAGCTTTTGAACCATCTCTCTGCTTTCCCATTCTCACACCCTACAAGCACCGCTGAGCTCCCCTATTGTGGAGTTCTATAAGTTTGCTAACAGACAAGGCGCTGACCATTTAAGAAGGCTCTTGCACTTTGTATTTGAAGTTTAATTCACCGAAAGCTACACAGTTTAAGCATAAAATTCAATGGGCTTTGTGTTGAGAAATGTTCCCTATTTGAGATCCATTTTGTCTTGGAGGCACACTGCCGGCATACACTAAGAGTGCCTTTTGGTCCTAACGCTTTCTTAACTGCAGGCTTGTGTTGTGAGTTTTCCTGCACAAACCTCCACAGGCATTTCCCTTCTTCCTTTTTGTTGTGTGTTTTAGTCAAGGTTCAGTTACTGCCTCACTAATAACTGTGCCTGAACTTGACTATTGGGACCTTTTTACGTACCATAACATTTTGCTGTAGCGCTTTGTACAGAATGCTGATCACCTTCATATGGCCACGGTGTCTCAATATGGTTTTCCTATATCAGTGGGTCTTTGTCAGAATTTTAGGATTTAGTGATTTTCATTTGTGTTTTTGATATTAGCTGTCCAGTGAGCATTAATCCTCAGAAAAAATTTAAACATTTTGAAAATATTAGATAAATGATTTGCTTTAAAGCAATGCTGTGTAACTTTTTTGCACTTCATCTGCATGGTCCCGTGCAGGGGTGCTGGCAATCTGTATGTTCTGGAAAAGTCCAGAATTGCTGTCTGACCATGGGAGTGATTATGTTTTTTCCCTGGGCCAATTTGTCAGGGAAAAGTCCAGGGCCGTTTTTTGGCCGCAGTCCGCCCCTGGTCCTATGGGAATTAAAGTTAAATCCGTACTTTGTAACATTTTCCATAGAGATAGATATGTTTTATGCGTTTTTTATGTTGTGGTATTGTGTGTTCAGTAGAGAAGCAGAGAATCTTTAAGACAGTGAAGATGTGACAGAGGTTTCAAGGCAGGTGGGTCTCCATTGAGGATGGACTGAAGGCTTCTAGTTGGAGAATAAATAAAGTGTTTTCTAGATTAATTGATTTAATAATGCCAATGCTTTTATCATGTGTTTTAAAATACAGTCCAGATAACAAGGAAAAAATCAAATCTAGAATGATATATCTCTTTAATTTTATACAGCGTGATATCAGTCTAGTCACCACTCCCTGTGTCGCATCTTGAGCCAGGCTCAAACACAACAGTGCAATCAGATCATTTCAGTGAAAGGTGCAGAGAAATAACAAAATAACAGAGTCTTGAGGTTCACCTATTTTTTCATTTATCTTTCATAAGCAGCCATATTTGTTTTGATACAAATGGAACATACATGTCTCTGATTGACCAATTCATCCATCAGTCACACCCAAGTATAGGAGAATACTGTTTTTCTAGATCCCGGACAATGTTTAAAATGTAAAACATACAATATTTATAGCTAAGGCTATAAGTTGAAGCTAGTGTCAAGCTGTGACACTATATGCAACATGATGTAACCTCTTTTTAAATTTTTTGAAACTGTGTATTATTTAAAACTTCAATCGAATATTGTCTTGCATCATATTTTTAGAAGGAGATGACACACTCTCCCAGAGAGGATATTATCTGTGAATAATTCAGTTTTCTGTCTGCACTATTCTGAAGTAGAGCTGTTTATTAGACTCCATTCATTAAATAGGCTCAGATGATTGTCAAAGAAAGTTGTGTGTTATTGGCATGTTAATAGATATACCAGGACAGAAGCTATGTGCTCTGCTGGTCACTCACTGTTGTGCAATTCTTTTAAGTGTTTTCAAAATGAGTCAGCGTTTTCTGTAACTTCATATTTTATACTTGTTTTCGTCATCATACCTTCATTTTTATTGGCAGCTCGGCCTGACTTTTAATTACTGCAATAAGGTACAAAGATTACTTATATATTCACAAGCTTATGACAGTTTTGCTGAAGTGGAGAAAGGCCATTTTTCCTAAGGGTTGCAAGGATGTCTTAGTTCAGTTTCCTTAAAATATAATCCAGTATAAAATAACATTTGCATTGGATGCACTATGCCAGTATGGAAGTGCAGTGAACAAAGGGAAATGTGAGGAGGCCAGAGAGAGTGTCCAAGAACTGAAATGCAGAGCTGCACATCACAAACCTGATGATCTGAACAATGAAGGACATAATGGGAAACAGTGGAAAAAACTAGAGTCTCAGAGAAGGACTGATGGAGCTACATTGGATGTTTGTAGAAAAAGTACATTGTGATTGTGTAAGCTAGCAGCACACTGTGTGTGGAGGAGTGAATACTGATGCTCTGAGAACAGGATGAAGGCTGCTGATGAGAGAAGATATTAAGACAAAGGAAAGGGATTCGTAGGATTGTAAAGATCAATTGGTTAATCAATAAACCGGATAATTCAGGTCACAGTACAGTAACTAGAAAAAATAATTATTGTAAACAGTTTAGATATACAATGATGTAATTTCCAATTAATCTATACTGGGAAAAAAAGTCTTGTATATGTTGAATTTTAGCATTCAGGAAGTTTGATTTTAAACGACTGATGGTCATGTAGGAATGGTAATCTGGGAGAATTAAAATAAATTTAAAAATGTTAACTCCATAGAAGAAACTGGGACTGAATATAGTGCCTATACTTATCTAGTGCCATGTTTAGTTTTTTCCTAAAATACTTTTTCAATTAACATCTTGGGTCTTAGTGATGGAGCCATGCAGTGATCCCCAGTGGTTTCATGGCTGCTGCCCCTTAAGTGAGGGCTGAAGGTGGATGTGGTGGATCATGATTTCAGATGCTGTCAGGAAGACAAAGCACTGGCCCCACACACAGTCTATCAGGAGCTTTTACTGCACCACACATTCTCCAGTACTCCAGCTGAGTGCACCACTGGGCTCTCCTCCTGCATATTTTCTACTCACTACTACTAATTGTGGTCCACATCAATTGTATCGCCTCCTCTTAAGACTCATAAGACTGAACTTTATGAACCTTTCAGTACTGGCCTAAAGTACTATCAGCTGTCGTTAATGGTGTATTAATCTATACTGTAACACTGGCAGATGTTTCAATGATATTATGTTCTTTTTAATCAGACCAAAAGGGTATCCAATGAAGCATGCACTCTCTTTTACTGAGCTGAAATGTTGAACTGCTTTTTAGGAAGATAGTAAAAAAAAACAGCTTTGGTACATGAAGTCTCTTCACGCAGTGGGAATACAGGGTAATCTATCATCTTTATGGCAGTAATTTTGAAGGTAAGCAAAATTACAATGGCAAGTATATTCTGTAGTAGTAGTAGTAGTAGTAGTAGTAAGTAATAATAATAATAATAATAATAATAATAATAATAATAATAATAATAATAATAATAATAATAATAATAATAATGGACATTTGTGGTTAATTTTAAAATTATTTACTTTTTGTGTAATTGAATCTCAGCCAAGCCATTTACAGGAACATTTTAGCACATTCTCAGTTAACTGCAAAATGATGGTTCTATTCTTATTATTGAGTGAATCTAACATAAAGAGACATTAATTCAATTTTACCTACCCCCACTTGGGAGTGTCCACCTGTGAGTAGTTTAGACTGTGTGAAGCTGACAGTGTCTAGACTCTTCCCATTGAAAACTACCATGTCAGTGAGGTCTCCAGACATCTTCTGTGATGAAAATCTGTCAAGTACTTGACTGAACCAACTTTATTCTAAACTGAAAATAATTTAATTAATTTTTATTTTCCTCTCTGCACCAATTCAACAGACATGCTTGATAGTTAATATGAACTTGTCATGACACACATTTCTCAGTCTAAACAAACACATTTCTCTTTTTAATAATTTCCTTCCAAAGGATTCATATTAATTTAATGATTCTTATTATAACTTTTCTTGCATATTGGTGTGCCTTGACAGGACAACAGATCAGCCACTGACATAAAGCCGTCTGACTCTAAAATGTCTCCCAAAGAAGTAGTCCTCCACCTACACACTCAAAGTGTCCAACTTCCTACTCCATGTCCAAGTCCTTTGCTTTTTATTTTACATCATAGGGCCCCCCAGTTTATAGCAGAATAAAAGATGAACAGCTCCATGGGAAGCACTGAGTTGCACTCAGTATGTGTCTGTCAACTCTGTGGGACTCAGAAATACTTTGTTGTCTCTCTCCATTACATCTTTTTACTTACAACTTCTGAATACATTGTTATTGTTAAAGGTGCATTTTTGCTATAGTGTTGTGGAACATACCGCATTTGTAAGAAGAGGTTCCTGGCACAATAATTTTATTTTACACATTTTTGTAAGTTTGTCACCAGTTATCAGAAATTACTTTCCATCCCTGCTTAACTGGTCAGATGAATCATTGCATTTTTGTGTTCCTCTGTAAACCTGTGTCTAGACTCTGAGATAATGAGGAACATCAGCTGAGGTAGTGAAAGTTAAGCTCTTCATTATCTTGTCTGCTTGTTGTCAATAGCACTTGGCTGAGTCTGTCTAACATTAAACAGTTGTTCATTATCAGTATGACTTTGTGCCCTGCTCTCTCAGTATTTGAAGAGGTCATACTACACACTACATTCAGTATCTGTGTGGGTGTACTCTGGATGTCAGAATAAAACCAGTCTATCTATAATATGTACTTGTCAGAATTGTGGTATAATGGGATTTGTTTCTCCTCAGGATTTGCTTAGTAATCACTTCAGTCACTATAGATGATAACATGGCACTGATTCAGTGCATACAGCACAAACATTCATATCAAGATGGGCTAGAGTATCACTGCTCCCATTGCTTCTGAGAGTAATTTTGCTTGTTTAATTACCTACTGTAATGATTTACACAATTATGGATTTTTACAGTTAATGTGCTGGTGAATCTTTAACAAAATATCATATACATATAATATATTTTCCATCATGTCGAACTAAATATCAAACTGAAAATCATGAGTGTATATATACATATATATATATATGAGAGAGAGAGAGAGAGAGAGAGAGAGAGAGAGAGAGAGAGAGAGAGAGAGAGAGAGAGAGAGAGAGAGAGAGAGAGAGAGAGAGAGAGAGAGAGAGAGAGAGAGAGAGAGAGAGAGAGAGAGAGAGAGAGAGAGAGAGAGATATTTATATATATATTTTTTTTTTTTTTGCACAGCCTCTTTATTATTCTTGTGTTAGAGGCTCCATCTAGTGAAGAGCACTGGTAGTATCAACTAGATACTGCCCCCTTTTATATCAGTGGTTGCGAATGCAAACTAATCACACAGTGATTTAGCACATTTTTATGCTAGATGCTCTCATTGCAGCAATTTTTCACATGAAAGACTGCAGTGGGCATTGTGGGAGAAGGGCATTTGTTTCACCCACTGCACTTAATGCATCAGTGATTGGTCATAAGCATAACATATATATAGATGTTCAATTATTTGTCCACTCTATGTATGAATATGGGCTTTATATGTTATTATTGCTACTACCATAGTAATTCTACAGTATTACTTCCTTGTATTTATAAGCAGACACTGGAAAAGTGAAAGAAATGCGTATGATTTCTGTTCCATCAACAGCATTCACACATTAACAGTAAGCCCTTTTGTGTCATTTTGTCACAGGGACGAGTGACCCCTATGTGAAGTTCAAGCTTGGAGGAAAGGAGGTGTTCAGAAGTAAAACCATTCATAAAAACCTCAACCCTGTGTGGGACGAGAGAGTGAGTCTTCTGGTGGAGAGCCTGAGGGAGCCACTCTATGTCAAGGTAACAGGAGCTTTTGTTATATCAGGTGATGCTCCTGCATGAAATAAAACTCCTTTCTCCCGTCTGTGTTGTCCAGGTCTTTGACTATGACTTTGGACTTCAGGATGACTTCATGGGCTCAGCTTACCTCCACCTGGAGTCACTGGAGCATCAGAGGTAAATGTAATCCACATGGTGACTGGCAATATTGGAAATTTTGAGATTACTAGGTTTTTAATAATCAACCTGCATTGGTCTGTGGTGGTGAAATATAGCATAAGACTGCCCTCTACTGTCACTGTGTTAGAAGCACCTCAAATGCTATGCAAATGACCCATGATTAATAAAAGTGGGAGTTATTTATTATTGTGTTTCCTATCTTAGACTGGCCTATAAATATGTGGGGTTGGTGTAATATGTTAAGTTTTTGTTTGTTTGTTTGTTTTTCTCGTTTTCAGTTGGACAGAATACAAAAACATATTGCATCAGTTAGTGGATTTCTATGTATAGTCTCTACAGATCTAAAAACAAATTTGTTGTCATTAATTTGAATAAAACGTTAGAGATTCAAGTGTAAACTTAAGTTAAAGTAAAGTATTACAAGTGCTCCCTCTTGTGGTTCTAACTTAACATTACATGACTGTACAAAAATACTGAGCATGAAGTTGTTTTTGTGGTTTACAAACTCTATTGTTTTTATGATAGAAAACCGTCTTTCACAAGGCTTAAACTGCACTGTATACCACACAATTACACAGAGTCTGACTGTGACATTGAAATGCACACATTCATTCATCATCTTTCACTTTGTTGTCTTTTTGTAGGACACTGGACGTGACACTGGATCTAAAGGATCCACAGTATCCTGAACATAATCTTGGAAGTTTGGAACTGGCGGTCACACTGTCACCAAAGGAAGGTGACATGAGAGACGCTGTAAGGGAACATCATTGCCCCTCATTCAGATTTGTAAAACTATCTTAAAACAGGCAAATGTGGCCCTGTGTTGCCCAGAATTCCTAACATGATTTCACTTGCAGCGTTGGTGGTACTCATTTACTCAGTTACATTACTTGAATAACTTTTTGGAAAAAATATATTTGACAGTATAACAGTATTCTCACTTGAGTAGTAGTGTTGATTATGTACAGTATATATTATGTTATATATTTTTTTCTCATTTTTGGCTATCTTTTGAAAATACCAGTGCACCATTTTACATTTTGTCCTTCTAATCAAATTATAAATGAGATCCCGAAGGTTGCTCTTACAATTACTGTTACTTGAATAGTAGTTTCTTCAAATATTTATTTTAGTCTCACTTCATTAATTTGTACTTCTACTTGAGTACTGTTATTTTGAAGTAATAGTTATTTAGTTACTTAAGTTTAATTTTAACTACTCTACCCACCTCCTTTCAGTTGAGAGTTGAGTTCATCTAAAGTGTAGTCTCAGTTATTTGAACCTTGCCTCTGCACATTACAAACACAGGCTGTATCACTTGTGTTCACTTGCACTAGAAACTCTTCAACCCGACAGATCCATATGCATAAGCACAAGTGTAATTAATATGTTTGGTGGAAAAGTTCCATGTTCAAAGAGCACTAGATTCTTCTTCCTAATTATGTTGGCTGGTTCCTCTGTGGACATGCTTAGTGTTTGAGAGTTGCATTTATTTCTGTTCAATTATTTGTTTGGTTAATTGGACCCCTGCATGTTGATCCGGAACAAGGCAGTGTCATGGGGGAAATATTTTATTCTGTTTGATCTGATGTCTTAATTCTGCTGCTTATTTGGTGCTGCAGTTCACAGAGTCCATGTTTGACAGAACAAATAAACTCTATTTAGGTTAAGCATCTTTTTTGATTTTGCTAACTGTGAGGAAAATTAGTACAAGGTTAGACTAGTGCACTGGAGATGCACTTTTCTGCCATCTGTTGATGAAATATGGTACTTGTTACTTGTAACTGGCAAAAGTAGCAATTTTTGAGATTACCAGACTATTCTCTGGTTTCATTATCAATTGTTTAAAACCACACATAAGCACAAGATTGCATGATAAGAATTTCATGACAATTTTCATGTTTTGCATATTTTCCAAGTATTACCTCACTTAAATTTGCATGACTGACAAGAGTGCTTTGAATTAACTCCTCCCATAGTAGGCTTGTGCCCTGTAACACCTGACCCTGCACTCTTGAGACACTAGGGGGTGCACTGTAACCACTTTGTCTCATTTACAGACCTTGCTTTTGAGAAGGAACTGGAAACGAACCAGTAAGGTAAACTAAACCAGCATGAAACCCCCTAAAACTAGTAACTTGACTGCTCTGCATCCCCCTGTCCTGCACTCTGCACTGGTGTCTGGTCCCATTCATGGATGGAGTCTCCTTTGTCACTTTCATTTTTCCTCCATGTGGTTGCCTTCGTGCGTCTCTCTCTGGTGATGACATTTACAGCTGCAATATAACACAGTATATCATTCATCTTTGTCTGTCAATTTCTTATAAAGCATTTATTAACTTAACAAAAGTTGGTTAATGCCTGGCAAGTCTCCATGTTTATATAAATACAGTCTATAGCACCTTGTGTGTGGACATTATTGATTTAGATGTATTATATGTTTTTAATGCTGCTCTATTCTAGTTAGCCTTAGCAGATGTTTTATGCCTAATTAGTTACATCATATTGCTGATTGCCACATATGTTGTCTTTTATTTTTCATTATTTTGTGCAACTTTGCAGGTTTTGTGATTATATGGGCTGTTTAAATAGAAAAGCATGCATTTCGCATGTGACTTTTTAAACTGTCCTTACTTAAAGGTGCGCTACGTAACTTTTTCGGGTGAAGGGTCTGCTCTCTGCCTGTCTCCATAGTGATGTCATTACTTTGCCTGGAATGTCCCACAGTATGGCATTCAACTTCACTTTACTCTTTTTGTCATTACAGGTGTTTAATTTCTCAAAACTTAAATAATCATGCATTCACTGTGAGTGTGATCTCCTCTACAGATCTGATCTGTAACTTGTCCTGGTAGTGTCACCTTCTTGTCTCCATGTATTGCAAATACATTTACTGTAGTGTAAATACATACTTTTTATGTCATACTGTGGAACATTCTAATCAAAGCAGTAATATCTCTGTGGACACAAGCAAGTTACATAGTGCATTTTTAAGCCACTGTTGGACTTGTACAGTATACAAAAGGAGTTTTCTTAGCATCAGCCTACAGTTGAAATGCACCAGGAGACTGTGCTCTCGTTCGGTTCTGGCTGGGCAGACGTCCTGCTGTAGTGCGCTTCCCAAATCCGAGTCTTTGAAGCCTCCCTAACTGGGCCACCCCGCCTGTGACTCGGGAATTAGCTCAAACACTAACAAACTACTACTGTGTAAGCCCACCAAAAGGCTGCTCCTGCCTCCTGACTCATACATACACTCTACTTAGCTATTTTTAAACAACCACTTTTTAATGAAGCATCTGTTGAACAAGATGCTGCAAGGAATAATTATAATGTCTCTCTGTATTTGTTCATTGTAGTCCACCACGTATTTTGCCAAATCGCCATCCACAAGGCCACATTAGTTTAAAATTGAATCTTAGGGTCTGTTTTGAGACTTTGAGACTCCACAAATCTCACTGCATGATTGGTCTCACGCTGTGCTTTGGCAGAAAGATGCACATTCGGAATCCAAATAGCCTATGTTTTTGGGGTTTTTTTTCTGAAAAACAAATATGGAGCTACAAAACAAGGCAACAATTAGGACCAAGTATCGGAGGACATAAGAATGACCTCATGATTAGCATACAGTGGGTTAGTGAGAGTGGAAGATACGGCAGTTTGCATAGGGGGAGTTGGCTGTATTGCATGAAGCTATTGTTTAATGTCTCGAGGATGGAAATTAAGATGCTCCGTCCTCCAGATCAAAGGCCTAGTGCTTGTGCGGCAGGGTTTGTTCAGAGTTTAATGAAATTCACCCGCAAAACAAAAGCTATGCTAATAAATTCTCTCCTAACGAGGAAGGAGGAGAGAGAAGGAGAGAGGAACCATGAGAGCGGGTTGTATCAGTTTGACAAATAAATACTCAGCTCTTTGTTTTAGAGAAAGATACTGACATAATTCAAAGGGAGGTTAAATAGGCCTGTAAGTGCCAAAGCTGTAGGGAAAAGCTGTACTTAAAATAGAAGTATGATTTATGTGAATTTGTAATATTGTCATTGTGGAAGTGATAGAGCTGAATCAAAAGCATTTTTGTTGCAGTGTTTAAGTAATGAGGTAAACCAATTTGTACTATTAAATAACTATTAATCGTGGTGTTTTGTTTAGTGGTTATATTATGAAAATATTGTTAAAATGGAAAATAAATCTTGTGTTGAATAGACTTAGTTAAATAAATATATGATAAAAAAAATAATAAGGTGAGATGCAGTGTTATCTTACCTACAAGGGGAAAAAAGTAATATTTCTTAAGATGATGATTTTGCAGTCCACTTAGTTTTCGTCGGGCCCCAACTTTGACATTAAGGCACATTTTGAGCACATTTTGAATAGACTGCTAATATTCCTTCTCCATACTGTCATCTGAATAATCAAAAAAATATCAAGATACGTTTTTCCAACATTGTCCACCTTAAATGTAGTATTAAGCTTATAATGGTGTACAGTTATCTGTGGTGAAGAACCATCAACCCTCTTTTACAAAAAGTTTTGAGCGTGATGAAACCATGTAACTGTCAATAGATTCACTTGTATGTTTATGTGTGTTTTATTTATTATTAATTGCTGCTAAAAAAAGAACACCGCTACATTAATGTGTCATGTTTATCATTTTGTTTGTGTTTCTCTGTGTTGCCTTGCGTGTCTGTTAGAGGTGGGAGATATATTGAAAAATGGATAATATTGCAATTGTTGTTCTGGAGATATTCTAATACAACAGGGTATATTTTCATACATATTGCATAGTAATAAAAATGGACCTCAAAAACAGCATAAAATTAACAGAAACATCTAGTGGAGGGTATTACAATAATATTTCTACACTTTTATGATATATTCACATTTTGTGTGATATTTGAACCTCAACCAAGACATTTACATAAGACATTTCTGATGATGCAAAAAAATAAAACAAATTTAAAAAAGATTGAAATTCATTTTTGCCAATATCGCCCACCCCATACCTGTTTTAGCGTGCATTTCTATTTCTATATTGACTAATTCTTGTATGTATATGTGTTTTTTCATGCTGCTGCAGTATCAAAGCATGCGTCTGTCAGATGTGCACAGAAAAGCCCAGCTATGGAGAGGCATCGTCAGCATCAGTCTGATCGAAGGGCGTGATCTCCAGCCCATGGACGCCAATGGCCTCAGCGACCCCTACATCAAGTTCAGGATGGGCCACCAGAAATACAAAAGCAAGGTCCGGATCAGTGGGTTGTGTTCACATTCAACACGTGATGTTGTCATAATCGCAGATGGAAGGCAGCGGCTTACTGATTTTGATAGAAATTTCCACAAAAGTTGAACCATATCATAATTAGTTTGAAGTTGACATTCGTTTTAGGGCTTTAAGTCCTTTTCATGCTAATAACATGTTTGGAGTTGAGTACTGGGATTATTTTCTGAGGCTTTTGTGAAAAAGCAGCTCCACTTTTGTGTATGTATGTTGACAGAGAATAAGTTGAACTTTATACCATTTTTGTTTCATGTGGATAGGCCTAGACACTTAGTAATTACAGAGTTATTAAACATAAACCAGGTTAGCATATCTGCAATGTGACAATTAAAAAGTCTCTGTCATTACTGGGCCTATCCACATGCAACAAAAATTGGTAAAAAAAAAAAAAAAAAATTCAATCACAAATATGATTGTTGTTTGATTAATATGGCAAATTTTAAAGCCTATTACTAAGAATATTGATAAGGTTCAACATTTGTGTATTTCTTTCAAAACAGTTCCATGGGCGATACAATAAAATATAGTATTAGTTTTGATTGTCGCAAGAAACTGAAACTCATGCCCTCCATGTTAAATTATGACATAACCAAATTCTATAACGTAAACACAACATATTAAAGTGCTAAAATTATAACATAACATAATATTATTTCAGACAATGCCGAAAACCTTAAACCCACAGTGGAGAGAGCAGTTTGATTTCCACCTCTATGAAGAACAAGGGGGCTATGTGGATATAACAGTGTGGGACAAAGATGCAGGGAAAAAAGATGACTTCATGGGGAGGTAAGGTGTGCCAAACTGATCAAGCCTAACATTACAACAGCTTGTGTAAAGTGTCTGTTCATAATGTCATGTGTTACCTGTCTGTTTTGTAATCTCTCAAGCACACACAGTCATGCATGCCATGTATTTTCTGATCAGGTTCCACTAAAAATTTATCATCAATTCACTAAGCTTTTTTGAGCAAGAATTCCAGACTAGATCTCCATAAATGACCGAGCAACTTTAACCCCAAATAAACTTCTTCTTATACTTACAGTTACAGTTACAGTCCTGATCACAAAGTAGACTTTTTGTGCATGTCCAGGGTATGGGCAACTAAGTCCATTTCAAATCAAATCACCTTGGACGTGATGAAAAATGTATCTTGTATTCATGTTTTGGGATATTTAGGTGTGTACAGAAGCAAATGTTAATTTTTTTTTTTCATAGTTTTTCACCTTTTTTTGTTTTTTTTCTAGGTGTACGATTGACCTATCGCTCCTGAGTAAAGAACATACTCATAAGTTAGAGCTCCCCCTGGAGGAAGGTGAAGGTGTGCTGGTGCTGCTGGTCACACTCACAGCTTCAGCCGCAGTTTCCATCTCTGACCTGTCCATCAACATGCTGGACGACCCCCATGAGAGGCACCAGATCATGCAGAGATATGTAAGCTCCCTTTTAGACTGTAGAGAATACAACTAAATTGGAGAGTGACAAACTATTACTATCTATTACTTTGTTGAAATTTTTAGGTTTGTACTGTGTGACATGATGCTGGGGGTGTTATACGTGTATCTCTATTGACTGAATATTTAGGAGTTACTATGATGACACAATACACATTTGCAGGCGTATGTGATCAATAAGAGTGTTCATGATCACGTTTAGGTGTTTGATTTGAACAACAATAACGGAGAGAGATCCTAACTGAAAAACTGTTGACTAACACCAGCTTGTGTCTGTAAAATTATTTGAGAGGGACTTATTTAACAGTAAAATTATAATTTAAATAAAATAAGTTTCAATTTGGTGCACACTGTCCACTCCAGTCAAAATAAATTGTATTAAAGTTGAATAAGATCAGTAATAGATAATATAAGTGTAGAGTAGGTTAGATGAACATTTGTTTGATACAGAGGAGTTTGGAAAGCTTTCATGCTGTGCACTGTTTGTTTGTGTTGCCGGGATTACCAGCCACAGTATTGTGCAGTATTTGCATCAGCAGCCTGCAGTGTGTTGCATATCTATGATTAATGCATGTGGACTCTCTCATTCGGGTGGTAAATGTCTTGACTTGTTGTCTAGTTGTCACTGATGTGAGTTTAGTTGTGGAGAGAAAGTCGTACAAGAGACACTGAGAATCCTCTGGCCCTTCTCCCCCTCACAATGTCTCCGTCTTTGTAATCATAATATTGTTCAAACAGCATTAACAAGCAGTTTCATAAGAATTATCTAAGTCTTATCTCACTCATTTAAAGATATTGTATTGTATTGCTATCGAATAGCTATTTTCCAAATGAAAATTCTTAGTTGTTCTAATTAATGTATCTTGAAAGCAATTGAAAATGAATATTAAAACAGTTAATTTGATGATCCTATGATTATCTTACTCAGAACCAAACATTTCAAACCATTGTACCCTTACCGTATCCTAATGGCCACTTGCATACCAACCAAAATCCCACACTGCAGAGACTAGTCTTCATCAGAAGGGGGAGCTCTAGGACTGACACAAGCATGCCTCTATAAACGACAGAAGAGGAGCTCTATGGTGTATGCGTGTGTATGCACAAGTGTGTGTGTGCACCAGTGTATGTGTGTAATAGAGGCCGAGAGGTAAGGGGTGAGGGTTGAAGCAGGAAGGGAAGGCGTGTAAAATGAAAAGAAAAAGCTATTTCACCTCTCTCACAACTCGCCCAGACCCCGTTTTTCTGCTCGGCTAAAGGCAAGACATTTTCCTTTCCTTCGACTACCTGCACAGCCCATTTCTGTGCCACTCTTCTGGACGCCCGGGCTCTTTGTCTGTCAACACTGTGGCCCTCGCTGAGCACGATAGACTTTAGAGGGAGGTGGGGGTTGCAGATGAAGGGGCAGAGCAAGGGTATAATTTGAATGCTTTCTACAGATTAAAATAGTACATTTGCCCACCGTCAGGTGAAGAATTTATTAAAGATGAACCTTTATAGAGCACCGATAACTCCAAGTGGCTCTTTTTGAACATAATAGTGTGAGAGTTCTAAGCAAATAAGCATTTGACTGATACAAGCCGTCACTTAAAAGTCAGCTGTGCAACTAACCTTTATACAAAGAAACCACTTCTGTGGTTGACAGCCAATAACACTTCCTCTTGTAGCTCTTTCATAAAATTACGATAGGAAAGGGTAGCATTAAAATTATGGCTGTGTCGTCATTATTTTAGAAAAATCATCAATTTCAACGGGTAAGTCAGTTCAAACTTAAGTAGGAGAAGTTATTGTTCAGGTCATGCTCAGTATTTTGTACTAAAGAGGTTACTTAATGATTGTCAGAATTTGTTTTTTCCTTTAAAAACATGTAACCAATAATATTGTTACTATCACCAGGTCAATAGAATTTTGCGGGGTGAAATAATAAGTTATCCCCTTGAAGATGCTTATTTAAATGAATTTTGTTATCAAGTAGGTTACTACAGCTCTTTCAATATGTTGCCTGTTGGAACAATCTGAAAGAACAATTTTTATTTATTTATTTTTTTTATTTTAGCTCCTCTTGCAGAAGGAGGCAATTGTGTGCCGTCCACTCACTTGGCGTCTGTCTTAGATCTATTAGCACCCAGTGTAACCTTTCCTTCATCACTAATTACTGCTCCTCTGAAGTAGAGGGGGCCAGAGGAACACGGCAAAGGGAGATTTATGCATTATGATGGCCAAAGAGCACACACACTAATGCCTCTTAATGGACCTGAGGTGGTCCTAAGATGGGCACATGAGCAGAGGAGGACACAGTGACCTCTGCTGGAGTGGTGGCACTTCAACGCCCACACACCTATGCTTACTCTGCATTGTTCTAGTCTAGTGTAAAAACAACTACTTATGCAGGAATTAGTAGTACGTAGCAAAAGAAATAAATTTGCTTTTGACACTTGATCTCATGATTTGAATTTGATTTAGCGGAAGCTGAGGTTCTTAGAGGCAGTTGGTTAAATATTCTGATCTGATTGTTTGTGGCTCAGAATCCATGTGTTTGTCTTTGTGTGTCCGAGTGTGATGTTTTTTTCTGTGCTGATGAAAGGTGACACGATGCAAAAATGACAGCTAGTCATGAGCCCATGGCAGAGCTGATTCATTTGTGTGTGCATGTGTGTGTGTGTGTGTGTGTCTGTGGCATGTGACAGAGAGGCAGACGTCACACTGACAGAACGTCAATCACACGCCGGACGGGGGAGGATTTTGTGAACACCAAGTCCGTCTTCCCCTCCTCTCTTCACTCTTCTCTCATCAGCTCCTCACTCCTTCCTTTCATGTGCTGCAGTCTTTACCTGGTACAAGGCCTGCTGGTTGCTTGAGGGAACGGGTGATTGGTCTCCTGCCTCTTCTCTACCTCTCTGTCTTCTCAATCCACCACGTTCTGTGATTCTGATAGGGACTTTATTAAACTCGTGGAGGATGGGTCTTGCTAATCGTGTGTTGAGGATGAGCATTAAATGGCCCCTTAGGGAGACTATAGTATATATGTATGATAGGATATGAAAGGAAGGTATGGGTGGAGGATGGGTTTGTGCAAAGATTAATTTTAAACATATGAATTTAATATATTGCTCTATTATAATTGTTTAGAGAGATGATTTATGTGTAATCTTGCATCTTGTAATTTTGCTTGGTTAATGTCAGAGGGAAAGTCTAATTCAAAATATCAACATATCACTTTCACTGGTTTCAGCTTTGTATTTATTGGTGTCATTTTGTGTACTTTTCGTCATTCAAAAGATTTTTTTTTTTAATGAATTGTTAATTGCTATGGACATGGCATTACTTTTACATTACACTAAAACCCATATTGAGCTTGTAAAGTGGTAAATTCACAAAGATCTTTTGCTCTTTTCAAGCCTGTAAACACATGTAAACTAGCATGAGTACCAAATCAGATCACTGTGGAATAGTTAGACCTCTTTTAGCAAAGTGTGAAGTTAACGTAGCTGTAAGTAGTAGTTCTTGTTTTATGAGGAGCGTGCAACACTTTAATCCATTGGCCTTTCTCTGACTCTGCAGCTGAATCTACAGAAAAGATCACACTTGTTCCCTCTCTCCTTTGCATCTTCCTGTTTCTCTCTTTTTCTTAGTCTCTCTCCCCCTCCCTCTCTATCTGTCTCCCTCTCTCTCTCCCTCCCTTCTCATCTGCTTTAGAAGGCTTTTGGACAATGATATCGCTGGAAACAGGCAAGACTCTGACAGAGTTAGTAATAATGAATTAAGTCTGTAGCCCGGCCCTGACTCTCAAATTTAAATTATAATTACTCCGGTGGGGATGGAGGGGCTATTGCCAAAAAATACTGAAATATAGTGAAGTGAAGTGCTTTTTCATTTAGTTTTAAACACATGCACTCTTCTGCTACTTAATTTCAATGTTTATACCCAAGCTGTTTTATTCTATGCATCTCATTTTGTTGATCAAATCTAAGAAGCAACTCTATAGCTTCAGATATGATAAGGGTGCTTGGTTATTTCTGCTTATTTAATTATCATGATTGTTAATTAGAAAATACTCATTCATTAAAATTTCATTACTATACATTTGCTAATATGGCATTCATATAGAGCACACAACACAATAGCATATAAAGCGTGTTTACATCTAGAAATATATTACACAACATTATCTAAGACCTATCAACATGCTTCAGGCAAACTAATAATCACATGAATGCAAATTATAATTAGAAATTTCACTTAAAAGCACTTCAAGTTATCAACATGCTATACCTGTGCATATTAATGACTTTTAATCATTTATTTTTGTATCCTCTATACCATTATATTCTATGAAAGCAATAATTTTATAGCCCTTAACATTTCAAATGCACAATGTAAGAAATCAATTTTTGTGGTAAAAAGGAAAAAAAAAAAAAAAAAAAAAAGAAAAAATCAGCAGCCAGCACTTTGAATAAAGATATGCAGTGTGTGCCAAAAAGAACAGACTGACATCCCCTTGAAGCCTTCAGTGATTTGAATTGATCGGAGTGGTAGATTAATGTTTTTTAAAAAAGAAGGACACAACTGTGACTGAATTTTTGAAATCTTAAATTAAAAGTTAGAAGTCGTGATGCTGAACTTGTCTAATGTGATTCATATTTGTTCTGCTTCCATTTACATTGTATTATATTTGACCTTTCTCAATTTACTGTTGCACCTGACACCGTCTTTATCACTTAAGTCCAATTTCATTAAAAAGTTACAAAATATATTTCAAGGAGCCATCTGTGCTATTCAGTGAAATTAGATTCCGCGTGACTGTAAATGCCAGCTGTACATTTTCAAATAGGTGCTGTTAAAGGACATATTCTACCCTTTTCTCTGGCGCTAAAATGTCAGCCTATTGACCCGCCTTTCTCCTCTGTGCTAATTTGCAACGCTCTTTGACCTTTGACCTCTGTCTCAGAGCCTGTGGAGATCGCTTCACAACCTGAAAGATGTCGGCGTGGTGCAGGTGAAAGTCATCCGGGCAGAGGGGCTGATGGCCGCAGACGTGACTGGTAAGTGACAGTACTTAAGCTGGTATCCACTGCAATTATAATAAACATACTGATATTCAAGTAAGCTATTTTTTCGAGTATATGAAGTAGATTAACATTAAAGTTATTTTTGAACATTTTCAACAATATGTTGGCTATTTGTGTATTTTATACTGAATAGTATATGTTTTCAGTTGTTTATTTTGCCTCTTTTATGGAGTGATGCTGCTCTAGTATGCAAAAGTATAACAGTAGTAATAAGTATATTTCTATTAGTAATGCTAGTTTGTTGTGTAGTTTGTAAGTATGACATTAGTGGAGTAGTAGAAGTAGAGATTGTGACAACCATAGTGGTAGTATTAGCCATATTATGAGAACAATCTAAAATTAGCTTTCATTATTAAACAATTTAAATGTGTTCTAGGTCACACTTTTTTACAGTACATGTCACTCATACCATATGATTACTAAGTAGTAGTGCCAGGTCACATACTTGAGCAGGTACATGGTATTAAGAGTAAATACTGTGTTACAGTGATATTAAAAGAATGATTTTACCTGTAAACAAGACCCTAAAGTCTTAAATTATTTGATGTATTTGTTTCAACAGTGATGCACGAATAGTCATTTGAATAATTGACAAAAAGCAAGACATTTGGACCAACAACCCACCCCCCCACACACCCCTCACACACACAGCCACACCTCTCCTCTCTCTGCTTGCTCTCTGTGAATCCTCCCTTCTCCATTAATTCTTACTTTTAATTAGGTCTGCAGTGGACAGGCCTACTTTTTCACTCTGTATTATCCAGCTGAATGAGACTGAGCTTGTGTGTCCTCCCTGAGAGTGTGCTGCTGTGAGATTCCCTCTTTCTTTGCACAGCCCCATTAGCAGCAGAGTGGAGCTGCTTGATTTGGGTTATTGCATTGGGCGACCTGAGCAGCCGGGAGTGCAGGCCTAAATGGCTCTTTGCCTCTTGTATTTCACTCGGAGCAGAAATGTGCTCGCTGACCTCGCCGTGGACCTCATCATTTAGTCTGAGCGCAGCGCATCTGTCAAAGGAGTAAAACTGTACAAATGTGGAACGTCTATTGGCAATTTGTTTGGCTTTCATTTGCTCTATCATGACCCGACTATGAGTTCACAATTACTTATTCTGTTGGCTCATAGCAATTATGAATTAAAGCAAATTTGGTTTAATGTAACCGGTGTGACATAGGGCAAATACTGTAGCTTATCCCTCTTAAGCATTAGGTATGCTTTCCAAAAGATTTGGAGCAATCCTTGATTTTATTACCTTCATCCAAATAGACTATGAAGGATATTTGTTTATAGTTGTGTCGTCTTGCAATTTACATAAAAAACATAGAAATATGTAAGTTATATGTAGTGTAGCACTTACATGTAACATAAAGATCTATGAAAATACTTGATTTCCAAAAGTCCTCATGAAAACATTATTTCATACAGCATATAGTTATATAGTTATATAGTGTTCAATAAGGCAGATCTATTTAAATACATTTGAATTATGTACAGAAGTCATTCTAGTATTTTAATACAACCAAAAATATATGTTTGATATGTGATCTAGTACAAAGTGAAGCATAACATCTACTTAGCAGTGTAGTTTTCAGCCTTATACTTTTTCATCTGGTACTGTATGCTGTTTAAAACACATAAATATAAAGATGCAAGGCTCCATACAATTACCCTGTTACCGCCAATCATCTCTGATTAAATTTAAATCCAGTCATCCAATATATGATATGGAAATGAATTTCTACCCACTCCCCACTTTTCTATGTAATATTCAGTTTTTTAATGATTCGGTGGAGGTGCACAGTTGTTAGTGTTGAACTTTCACCTTATTGGCCGCTAGCACTAGAGGCGCTGTCTTAACCAATTACACGCTCCTGTTTGAGTGCCACTCAGAGATGGTCCAGGTAATGTCCAAGTAGAGCCCGCCCCCTGTGCCCGGACCCTCTGGGTACTGTGGCACAGCCTTTTACTCCGAAAAGCGGCAAAGCCATTTCACCACGCCTTAAGCATAAGTATGACTATGATGCAAGTGAGATGAGGAGGTGCGCTTTGCCATAATTGCCTTGGAGGTGGTTTTAGACTTAGTGAATCTGAAAAATGCATGGTTCTGTTTAATCATATTATTCGCAATTTAAATTGTGAATGACAGGTGTAATACTTATTTCATGGTGTGATATGTGCTTCAGGATCCCCACCTTATGAGGTGTAGCATACATAGCAAAGTAGTTTATGCTGCTTGACCCCTTATGAAATCAAACACAACTTTCAAATAAAATAATATAATTTTACGAAGAAGATATAATGTGGAAAAAATTTTTAATTCAGTTTTTGTTTTATAGTGTGCTTTTCTGGATAAACACATTTAAACATTGAACTGTATGCCTTTATGTAAGTATAACAAATACTTTTTGTGACTTTATTTTAGTTTGGGTCACTAAAATTACAGATTTAAAGTTTTTTTCCCATTACAAAAGAGCACAAATGTCTGTCCTTTTAGTTACTAATACTTTTCTAATTATTACTCACTTTTTTACAGATTTAAAAAAAAATCTCCTCACTACTTTCTTTCGATACTGTGAATGTGTGTCACCATTGAAATTCTCCAACAGTCCAGTCGCCACTCAGAGGCACAAGAGCTGACAAACAAAGGGGATTGTTGGTTTTAGAGACTATTTTCAGTTATCCTACTCCAGGCCTGAGAGGACCTACTCCACAAAAACACTTGAATTAGAGGCATCGAGGAGGAGGAGAGGGGCTGTGTGAATGGTAGGGAGATGGGGCTCTCTTTTCAGCGCGCCTGTGACCCCTTCTCGCCCGCGCTCCTGTCTGTTTGTCTGTCCGCCTGTCGCGCCCTCACCTTGAGCCTGACCCACTGTTGGCCGGCGCTGTTAATATATGGTGTTCATGTGGTGAGGGCTCTTATGTGGCTCTTGCCGAGATATTGTTCCTGCCAGTGACACACACAAGAACGCACACATGACGCGACAACGGATAATGGGCAGAAAAATAAAATTTTCTAGAGAAATAAATAGTACTGTCCACATAAAGTTACAGAGAATATTGACAAGGGCCATTTATATTTTTCTATTATTGTGTAATGCATTAGGTGAACAAAGTCAGTTTCACTTATAGTTGTAAAAGAAATCAAAACAGTGTTCATTTGAGCAGGTATAAATACTAAAAAATACATAAAGTTGGACCTCTCTTGAAATTTTGAGAATGGTCTTAGTCTACATCAGAAGTAATAGAAGAGCACATTATTACATTAAAGAAACTATGAAATTGTGTTGAAAAGTATGCTTTTATATATATATATTTTTTTTTAATTTACCTTATGTGATTTTAAATTGGTATTGTGACACACTACTTTCAATGTATATGAATATTTTACATTCAAAAATGTCTACATGGTGCTGTAATGAAGTTTATTTAATTCTGTAGTACAATTCATTATTATTTTACATATATATGCTAATTTACTAAATATAAGCAGATTTTTGTCTATACACAATAATCACTAATATTACATTTAAAGAAATGCTTGCTGTATTTAATTTTTGTTGTCGATTTCATACCAAGAGTCACAGCTGTCAATTTCCACTTGAAGCCCCCACATCAATAAACCAGCACAAACATATGAAAAGCAACACCTACAGCTCAGCATTGATCACCCTGACATTTACTTTGCAGACCCACTAAATGTCCTGGCCTTGTCACAACATTTACAGAAAACCACACCAATCTATGACACACACGCATACACACAAACCGAGCTTCACGTCTTCCAGTTTTTTTATGCTTCAGTAATTTTTCAATATTTTCAAATAATTTCCCTGGGACATATTTTCTTCACAACTTCCTGACCTAGCCTTTTCAAGTAATAAGCAGGAACAAACAGCCCAACAGCTCCCAAATGCTTTAATAAGAAATCATGATCAAAGCTGGAATTAATACTTCTGTTGTTTGGAGGCGTTAGGAAAAGAGGCGGGCTGGCAAGTGTGGGGAGTCACTTTTACTTCATGTACAAACAAACTCAACTGTGAGATCTTAGTAAACAAATAGAAAGTATATCTATAGATAGGAATTCCGTATATTGTATCCTCAGGAGGTCAGACTGTGCGCACTCATTTTACACATAATAATGCATTAGTCTACAGAACATAATCTACTATCTAGTCTAGTAAAATTATTATTAATATTATTATTATTTTTTATCATTGAATTCAAATTTTTTTTTTACTGTAGTATTTATATTTTATTAGTATTTAGGTATTTATAATTTATTAGCAGTTGTGTTTTTGATATAAATGTTAATTACTTTGTTAAATTAATGGATTTTTATTTTTTTTTGCAGGTAAAAGTGATCCTTTCTGTGTGGTGGAGCTGAGTAATGATCGGCTACAGACACACACGGTCTACAAAAACCTCAACCCTGAATGGAACAAGGTTTTCACTTTGTGAGTTTTTTTTTTTTTTTTCCTTCTGTTCTTTTCCAAATTTAAAACAAAAAAAACTACAGTCACAATGTATTTTTATAAACCAAATTTTGTAACAGAGAACAAAAATAAGTTTTTTGTTTTTTTTTAATAATTACGACGATCATATTTAATGGCTTCTTTATTCTGGTAACATTTGAAGTACTTGATGTATGTAGTTCTCACATTCTTGTTAAATATCTGACATCTTATTTCCCTGGTGGTGTCTCTGTGGCTCAGTAATGTGAAGGACATCCACTCAGTTCTGGAGGTCACAGTCTACGACGAGGACCGCGACAGAAGTGCAGACTTCCTGGGAAAAGTGGCAATTCCTTTACTCAATGTGAGTCAGAAACAGTGTTTGTGTGGATTATCCTTTACTCCTGGGAATAACATCAACTCCATAAAGAGCAGAAGAAAGAATGATAACACATAGTGGGCTCAGGTTATTTTCTGCAACTACACAGAAGGCTGTTTCACAAAAGAAATGTCAGGAAAGTAAAAGTGCTTGTGATAGTAAAGAAAAAAGGGTGTGAGGTGGATAAGAGCGGATGTAGAAATGACACTGATTGAGGGAGAGAATGCTGCCATTTGGAGAGAAAAGACGCTGTGTGTTTTTGGTATCTGAAGCGCTCTGTGTGTCTACTACAGTATATGTGTGCTCTGCACTACAGTGTGATTCCCCAGGATAGTTAATTTCTGTTTGACAGAGCTGAGCTGCTCTGGGTAATGAACAGGTACTTGTCAGAGTTGCCACAGTTGTTTTGGGTTCCCTGTCAGCGGCAGCAGCTGGGGTTCAAAGGTGGCCTGGGGAGCCGATTCAGCCGGGTATTGCCAGACAGACGCCTGTCATGTCCCTCTCCCACAGATCCAAAATGGAGAACGCAAAGCCTACGCCTTGAAAAGCAAGGAGCTGACAGGGCCAACAAAAGGGGTCATCTTTCTCGAAATAGACGTGATTTTTAATGCTGTAAGTCCTTTTCTGCTTTTTTTGATTCACTGACTTTTTTTGCCCCTACTCCCATTATCTTTCTCATTCTCTCTCCAGCAAAGCACCCCCATCGGTGCTGCACCTCTCCCCATGCTACTGTTGTCTTTATTCTGTTTGTCCCTCCTCCCTCTCCAGCTCCATCTCATCCCTCGTCCCCTGTCCCTTGTCCTGATTTTGGCTTTAATTATCGAAGACTCCCTCTCAGCAGCCTTTGTTCACACAATCACCATCACTGTGTGTGTCCTATAGCGGCCATCTTGCAGCTTTCAGTGCTGCTCATCATCCTCTAATACATGCCTGCAAACTGCTATGTTAATGCTTTCTTAGAATATTTTGTTTAAAAAAACACAATCTTCCTCGAGAAATTGCTTCATATCCCTTTGCTTGATATGTGCCTCTGATAAGTTCATGATATGTTTTTTCTTACCATCTGTTGTTGATTATGAGTCCTCGCTGCTTCACCAGGTGAAGGCTGGCCTCCGAACGCTGATCCCCATTGAGCAGAAATACATTGAGGATGAACCCAGAGTGTCCAAGCAGGTACTTCCACCTACTGCTTATGTACTACAGCTCTACCTTATTTTTACTGCTGTCTACCACTGTAGCCCCAATTCTACTACTGTCAAAACCAAAAGCAACACGCCCGGAGAGTGGCATGTTGTAATGCACAACAACTGTGTGGGCAAGATACAACAGGGTGATTGAAGAAAAAACAGCATTTAATTTTTTTCTCTGTGTTCTGCTTTCTCTCATCTCGCCCCCCCTACATCCTCTGAGCGGTGAATAGAAATGTCAAGCTGTCAGCTCTGGGGTGCATAAGTAGATTGGCCATCCTTATAGTTGGCCCTCTTTGCCACTGCTGCTTTGCAGTTCATTGTCACGCCGCTCAGTGTGGCGGCACCACAAAGGCTGAATAGCAGGGGCTGGCCCACATCACACATGTCATATAAGTGACCGTTTGGGCACAGCAGTCACAGCTACAGCATGCATAGCCGAGCGGGTCCCATACCACCTCTTTGTCAGGCCCACAATCGTACCCTTTCCCTGTTCCTCCTGCCCTCTCGGTCCCTCTGTTTCAGAGCACTGCCCGGTCCTCTCCTGTGTGCACTCCTTTTTTCGTCTTCATTTCACCTCTGACTCACAGAGATGACCCTGGGCAGCGTCTTCCAATGATGATGTCACCACTGCTTTGGAGGGATTGTCCCGTGAGAGCTACTTTTGTCAAGCAGCTCCCGCTGTTGCTTTTTACTCACTGTGCGGCATTCTCATCTGCTGCCTGCAAAACACCAGCCATTTTGTTTTAATTATGACTTGAATTAATAAACGACCTTTCCTCTTTTAGTTCAGCTATAGGGAATATGTTCATATTTATTACCGTACTTACTGCTATAATGAGCCAAACAGAGTACAGGACTGACAAATAGAAATGGATGTTTCATAGTGTTGCAGACCTCAGGGTTCCTGTGTCCTCAGCAGGACATTGTACGATCACTGTGAGTTTGGCATAAAAAGCTCATCAACATTACAAACAGGTGTCATCCTTCTCTCATCTTACACAACTGTGAGACCAGTTGAACAGTGCTCCTAGAAACCTGCACCTGCACTGTTCAGACTGTGGATTCAAAGGCCCAGTCTTCCAGAAAGTAAAATAATGGCCTAGAAATGGTGAGGAACGATATGCAGAGACAGTGGGTCCGGTGGGAGCGCTTTTTCCTGGTGTTGACCTGATTGGGCGGTTGGCGTTCTGTGCTGCTATTCCCTGAATGGTAGGCAGCCCAGAGGGAGGACAGCAGTTAGCCAGTTCTCTCTCATCTCTGGCCAAGTGCCTAGAGAGCCCTCAGGGAGCACAATCCTGTGACTGTCTAAGAAACTGTTGTGATTGTGCTTAACTTTATTACTTAGAGACTAGACTTAAAGAAGCATAGTTGTGAGTCAGCTGTAGTCATGCTTTGAGTAGATATTTTCTTGGATAATATTTGCATTCTTAAGCCATAGCTTTTGTAATGAGGAAAGACTTTTGCCTGCCCCTGAAATTTGACTTTTCATGTTGAAGTCAATGAGAGGCCAAAGCTACAAATTGAATAGACTTTTGAACTAACAATTCTCGTGGATTTATATTTGCTACAGTAACTGGCTGGGTGTGTGTTTGCTTTATCATAAATAATTTCTTAATAAGTTCTTGTTTGTCCCTCTTCAGCTCCTGTTGCAGAACTTCAACCGAGTCCGCCGCTGCATCATGTTCCTCATCAACACAGGCTGCTACATCAACAGCTGTTTTGAATGGGAATGTCCACAGAGAAGCATCTGTGCATTTGTGGTAAATATCTGCAGTTATTTGTTTTTAATTAAATATGAAAATTAACAACACTTGTGAAGTGCAGTGTTAAGACTAGGAAATACTGTTATACTGAAACTATTATGTTTTACTATGCTAATTACATTATCTATAGTAGAAGAATATATTGTGGTTTTGTGGTAAAACTTTTTAACATATATTAGGACCAATTCTCTGATGATTAGTGTAGTATAGTTAGTTCTACTTATGCCTGAATATATTTAAATCAAATATCAAATTATTAAGAATAAATTGTCTTAATTTCTATTAAAAATGTAGAATGTTTAAATAATTGTTCTATGTATGTATATCTCAAGAGAAGTATGTAATATTTCTTTGTCTTTCCGCACTGTGCCCACTCAACAGACATAGATCACTTTTTTGGCTTTAAAATGAGTGTGCACAAGGCAGATGTATAGAAATCTGTTGTTGCTTTTGGTGTGTGGACAGTTGGTTTTCGGGATAAACGCAAGTGTAGCTGAGGTCCAGAGACATTGGTATATATAAAAAAAGTCTAGTTAAATGTGACAAGCTATTCACGTGACATGAGCAGCTAGAATCGCACTCTTTCCCATCATGCTTCTCTTCGTCTCCCCCATCTCCCTCTTCTACCTGTCAAGTGTGTGGTATTAAAAGGTGAGCAGTAATTGGAGCACAGAAGCATCAGTAAAAGACATGGCAGAATGGGAGGTGATGGGCTCCATGTGCGCTCCTTACCCTAGAATGACAGAGTGGCCATTTAATCCCGTTTGCAGCAACGTTTTGGACTTAAGTAGTAACAGGACAGGCGGACCCACGTCACCCCAGCCCTTTACACCAATGACACCCAATAGCACATATAAAACATTAGAGGCATTTGGCACCAGCTCCATCACTGTACATGCATTTTATAAATGCTAAAGCGGGGTGCATTGGTAACTCAAAACATGGGCCAGAGAAGACAAAAGAAAAGGATTGTTGGCCTATTTATTATGCACTTTCACACACTCGGACATTCATTATATGAAATTAAATGAAATGAGTTCATTGGAATTGGCATTCTGCAGTTTGAAAAGAGAGACATTTGATAATGTAACCTCTGATTGTCATCACAATCTTCAAGCGGTTTAAATACACCGGGCCCACTATTCATTTTCTCATTGTGCTTACTTATATTCACAGTATTCATATGATGATAAATGATGGATCTAGGCCAAGGACATGGTGTTTTACAGTTTTTTAAAAAGTCTGAAATGTAGGTGTCATTGTGCTTCCTCCCCCGTGCTCTTTTGGGAGTGTGTTATTGTATAAAAATATGCACTTAGCTAAAAGCATGGCAGTATTTAGGGCCTCTCCTCCACACACAGGTACTTCCTCCCTGCTTCCACTTCCATTTCTTCATCCCCCTCTCATTTCACCTCACTTTGAGAGGCCTCTTAATCACTTCGCTCATCTCTTTAAGTGGCTTTTTATGGGGGGCCATCTGGCCAAGGTGGTGCGTTCACCAAGGTGTGCTGTGTCTGCGTGTGATTAGCGGCATGTGTGTGTCTGCTCACATGTGCACGTGCACTGCTTGTCTGGCTGTCTCTCTAGACAGATGTTACACTTAACTTTCCAAAATGGCTGTCGCTGCAGAGGTGGAGTTGTGACTAATTTACCCTGTAAACTTACAAATATATGCACTTGTGAACCACTAAGTAAGCTGCAGGGCAAGAAATGCGGGTGCTTGTACATTTGAGTAGCTACATATGAAAATGCAGTTATCATAAGGTGTCAGTTTACAACACTCCCTCGACAAAATCACTCAAAATCACTTCTTCCTCTCCTTCTGCCCAGTGTTGCGATGCCAGCCGCATGTACACGGTGCCCATTAGTGCCAGCTGTGATGAGTGTGTGTTGTGTGTGTGTTTGTGCACGTGAGAGGAGATACCACGTCTCCTCTCTCTTTCACACCCACACTGCTGTCACCCACCCGTCCCCACAGTGAATCAGCCGCTGTGGCAGCTTTGCCTCAGGCGTTGGCACAGTGGACGGGCCTGCAGTTCGCTCCTGTCCTGTGTGACGGCTGCCTTGTGTGCTGACGTGCCTGTGCTGGCCTTCATCTCTCTGTCTCGGGGTTAAGCGTCATCCTCCTCTCTCTACACCTGCTGGCAGACTCCTCTCCCTCCATCCCTGCTTTCTCTTTATCTCTGGCCTGGTCCCTCCCAGAGAGCCGGGGCCATTGTGGGCCACACACTGTTGGGTTATGTTCTCCCGCCGCTGCCAGCTCTCCCTACGGCCCAACAAGGCAAGACAAGGCTGTTATTGCCCCAGGGACGGCAGGCCTCAGCAGCTCTTCCTCCAAACAAATTTGCTGTAACTTTATCTGCAATTGGGCCCTGAATTGGGAGCAAATAGAGGCAGCTTTGTGCAGCTTGGGGAAGGGCGAGGGCAGAGAGCTGGGGGTTGTTGAGGAGGCAGGGGAAATGATACCGCCCTCTTTTATGTCAGGCAAAGTAGGACTCTTATCAGGAAGAGAGCCCAGACAAGGGAGCTACTTCTAGAGGAAACTGGAGCACCTATCACCTGCTTTGCATTTAGATAAAAATTCACCCTACTGAAATAAAAAAGGAGAAGAGCATAGACAGGTACAGAAGAAAACTACTGGAGTGTATATGTCGCGGTGTGTGTGTTTTTACATGTCTGGCACACAGTTTGATACACACACGCAGTACAGAGACTCCCACACACCGAGCACACACCATTCCAGGTCTCTTTAAATTGCTCCTTTGACTCCTCTTCAAAGATTCTGTCTAACTTTTAAAAGTTTTAAAGTTGGGAGTTCGTCTTTGCCCACAGCAAGGGACAGCTTTGAAAAGATATACCTTCACATTTTACTACTCACCTGATTTGCAAAATGGTTGATTTAAAATCTAATAGCATGACTAAGAGAATACCAAGTCAGCACAATCACTGGAGATTTAGACACAAAACGCACTAGGCCTGTTTGACTCTGACTTTGAGTCATCAGAGATGGTGCTCTGCACTTATATTTACTATATAAAGGTGCATTTGGTGAATGAGCAGTGATAGTCTATTTCTGCACAGTTCAGTCGTTTCTTTTTCTGTTTATAGAGTTCAGTCTATTAAGTGGAGACTGCACATTTCTTTATTTTACAACAGAACAGCAGGGGGCAGTCTACCACCACTGAATGAGTGGAGGGTCCAGTCACAAGCAGGACAGTTTTTCTCAAACTTAACAGGACTTCTAGCTGCTATCTGGCATCACTTAGTGCCAGTGTTGAAATTGATGTAAGGGAGATAAAGGGGAAGTCTGAAATTCAAACTTCAGTTTCACTCCACTGAGACAGAGCAGGAGGAAAGTTAGCCTGGTGAGTGGTTAATGTAAGCCAAAGCACTGAATATTACCCTCCCACAGAGCCGCGGCTCATTGCCGTACGGACCAGCCCTGTGTTTTCACATAAATAACATAAGATATATCTCCAGCGCTCTGCAATGAGGGCCCAAATAAATCATTTTGACTCCTCTTCCATTTTTATTTATTTTTAACTTTTGTTTTAGTTTCAGTCTGTGAAAGAACAGAACAATGATAACAGTGTGTTTTTGCACTTGTACCCGTCTCCAGATACAGAATACCAGATTTAAAATATGCAAAATTCTTTTTTTTGTTCTTCTTTTTTTTGTGAATTTTAGTTTAGTTTTTTTTTTTTTTTTTTTTTTTTTTTTTTTAAGAATAGTTGTACTCTAGGTTTTACTAAAAAGTCCAAATTGAAGTTGAATTGAAGTTTATTTTAACCTTATTCAGTTGACTGATTAATAGTTTGTTTTTTTTTTGTTGTTGTTTTTTCTTAATAGCACGTTTAGTAGAGTAAAAATACATAACCTGTAAAGAAACATTTAAGTTAAATATTCTATTAACTGAATACCTGAACCCCTCTCCCATCATGTGCACAGCCACGGACCGGACAGTCTACAAATCACTTGCATTCCCCCATAAGATTTAGATTTCCATTTTTCTTTTGGTGCGGTGTGTTTTTGTATCTTTTTTCACCCCTTCGCCTCTGTGGTCACTGACATCCACAGCGGGTTTCTTCCCACTCCCTCTCCCCAGGCACAGGTACTGCCGTCTGGGTAGTGAACTATGAGCTGGTGCCTCTGATGGTGCGGCCCTAGAGGAGAGGTGCTGTAGAGTGTAGAGCCCACATTACTCAGCCCGGGGGGCACCAAGACGGGGCAGGGCCAGTCACTGCTGGTGTCCGCTTCCTCCAGCTGCCAGTCAAAATCTGGCCCTCAGCTACGAGAACCAAATGGTGGAGGAATGAAGGGGGACAACAGGTTAAACTACCGCAGGCTACAAGATTTTTTATTTAAAATTATAATATTATGGCAGTGGATTACAAGAATATATAAAAGTACCAAATTGAAAATGTATGATACAACTATATGGTTACAGTTTTTATTACAATGAGTTTCAAAGAGGTATTGTTGTGTGCCGATGTGCGTGTGAGCTAGAAAACGTATGTTATTAATAGCCACGAGAATAGATGAGAAACAAAGTGAGCTCCTTTGTTTGAGTGATGTTTTTGCACTTCAGTGACCCACTTTACTTAGGTAATTCTGGTGTTTAACGGCTTTACACATGACACATTTTGTACATTATTACCACTTTAGAAAGCCGGATAAATATAGCAGCAATGAAAGCAGACTAGAAATGGGCACACACTTCTGCCAGTGAACTGTATCCTTTTCACTTTTATGAATATACTCTATTTCATAAAATTTAAATTACATAAAGTGACAAAACCTTTAGTGCCATCAAGAACATTAGGTTATTACAAAATGGGGTAGATAAAGTGGTCAAAGTTACGACATCGGACATTTAAGTTTTCTGTGGAAAAAAAAAAAAAAGTTTTGATAATTTATTTTTATTCTTGAATTGTTGTTTTGACTCTTGGTTGCTGAAATTTAAGAGATGCACTTTGTGAGTGGGTGAAAGCCAGATACGACACCGCTGCCTCACTATATGCTAATACACTCTCTGAAATAGACTGTTGAACCCCGATATCCACATTAACCTTCCACTGTAAAATAAAAAACAAAAGCAATTCTCGCCTCTCCACCTATTTGCCTTACATGCACAAATAATAGTGAATATGATTATTATGTTTTCTGTTTTGCTGTTGTCATTCATCTTAACATAATTGGAACAGACCCTTAAATTTGCTTTTGTGTAACTAAATAAAACTATCAAATAAAAACTGAACAAAATTAGCATTTCTAGATATAAGAATTTTGTTCCTTATTCCTCGTTTATTGTTACTAAATTGATACATGAATATGAATATTGCATATGATTACAAATTTTAATAATTTCTTTCTTCTTTTCGCTATTTGTAAAAAGAGGATGCAAAGTAAGTAATTGTGTGGTTGACATGTGGCAGTATTGTCCTGATTACTCCTAAAGGTTCTCACATAATTTCCAAACTTCTGCTTTTTTGTGCTAAAGAGGCCTGCCAAAATCAATTGCAAGGTTTTCACAAAGGTTAATTTCTCAGATGCTTCTTTCTTGTTTGGAGATGAGATGGGAGGTATCGTGGGGTTATGTTCTTGGCAGATGTGAGCAGGGAGGTTAGGCAGGGCACTGGGCTCTTTTGCAGCCAGAGGAGTGGGTTTTGGGGTTTGGAGTGACAAGGTTAGGGTGTAGGGGTACTGGGAGCGTGGGGTCAGTTGAAGAGGTTCGGCCTTTGAGTGTGGAGGGGTCAGCTTTGGTTTGGTTGTTTTGCAAAAGTACATGACCTTAGCTGGTGGGATGATTGGCATGAAGGGAAGAGTTTTTGACGTCTTGTACTCATCCTAACACCAGCCGCTAAAGCTTAGGGTCCAGAAAGCTTTTTTGGGGAGGTCACGGTCGCACCAGACCTGTACCTCTGACTGAACCCTATTCCACAACAGTTATAATTCTGCATATGAATGTGGACAGCCTCGTTCCCATATGGGAACCACTAACTTTTGTTCATTTTTTTCTCCAGAAATAGTCCCATTGACTTCAATACTAAAGCATACTATTTGCAGTATACTTTTACTTGAGTATATTGCCTAAACTTTCAACCCATTATCTTGCAAATTACTAACTCAAGTTTTTAGCCACTGACGCACATGTGTATGTTACATTAATTTTAAAAAAGTGAGCTGCTTTACATTAGTTATTTTGATGGGTTCATTTGACTTTTACTTGAGTAATAATTGTAAGTAAAAATTATATTTTGGCTTTATCTTCCTCTTCTCTCTTCCCCCAGCTTTTTGTCATCTTCGTATGGAACTTTGAAATCTATATGATCCCCATGGCATTGCTGTTACCCTTGGCCTGGAATTACATACTGATCGCATCGGGGAAAGATACCAGGCAAGATATGGTGAGTTAGACCTCCCTTTCTCTATCTAACACACACATCTTTGAACAGTTTTCATTCAAAATCAAACAAAATATGCAAATGTGTCATGCAGATAGATGTCAGTGTCCCTCACGAGACAAGGCAGATGAGCATAACTCAATTAAAAATATCTTTTTGATTAAATTGCCACTCTAAACACTGGACAAAAATTACTCTCGATGTGAATAAAACAGAACTTCTACAAAAATTGAAAAACATCCCATCTGCCCCTTGAGGAAGAGCATTCTCAGTGCAATCTCACATTTCGCACCATTGCGTTCCTTTCAGCCAAAAGAAAAGGCAGAAATAATAGGCTGTCACCTTGAGCAACGTTACGGCACTTACCTGGTACTATATTTATTTAATTCATTTATTTTTATCTCTTCTACCAATTAAATAATGTCAAAGCAATGTCATGGAGAAACAGACATGTTTTAATCATTCCGAGAGTAAGGGAGAGAAAACGCGCGAGAGAACTGGACTACGGAGCAAGCGTGAACAATGAAGTGATTAATTTTAATAAGTGCCTTTTTCTGAGTTAGAAATATCCAGTTCGGACACTGCACTCAGACTTCCAAGCTGTCCCTGATTCTTCCAAATGTACAGTATATACAGGACTTCATTTTAAGGGTTCTTCTTTGGGTTAAATTAGACTTTATTAAAGCATAATTGTGAATTAACAAAATTTCATTATGTCAAATGCTATCACAATAGAAAGTATACTAAAATGTAAACAACAGATTAAGCCTTTGCATTTTAGCTTGTGGTTTCAACTAGTTAATTAAAATAGACATTCTACCTATTTTCTCCCTATTTTGTAATAATTGTATTGAGTTTAATCCCTACTGTTATAACTACATTTACTGGGTTTATATGAAAAAGCTCCACTTTTGTGAATGACATTTCAGTGGCTTTTCCATCTTGCCTGTAGATGGCGACATTGCTTGACAAAAAGTGCCTCAGATGCCCTGAGACGAAACCGCAGCATTGTGCCTAGTTCCTGATGTGTTTATTCAGTGCTAATGCTCTCCGCTCACCATGCACTTCCTAATTAAAACAAGGAGGCAGGGGTTACATATCTCTCTGATGTGGCAGTCACTTCACATATAAGCACATGTAACTTACACTTGATGGAGGATTGCTTTTTCCACTTTTTATGAGTGCCATTGTGCCTCAAGTACTTTCAAAGATGCTTGGTATATTAACATGTTATTGATACTCTTTAGGTATGTGTCTGTGTAGTAACAGCAATTTAAATGATAGTTGTTTACAATATCTTGTAATATATTTACAATATTACATGCATAGTCACTGGCTTTGCTTTTTCTTGTGGTTTATATTACTACAAATTGATTTCCAGTACAACATTGATTTAGTAGCTTTGCACTAAACATGACATGACTACTTACATTGTTGCTTTAAGTTGTTTTATTTTGCATGTGGCACAGAGTATTCCAAAAACTGCTCTTCTATTTTCACACAACCATCCATTGTGTTTATAAAAATGTCACCATACTAAAATTTCAGTTTTGATACTAGGGGAAAGGCTTGATATTTGATCCCACAATGATTATGCAAAAAAGTTGATAAAGTTGTTCTGATATAGAGCAAGGCCAGTCTAAATCTTAGCTGGATAGGTGTAATTTATATGAGGTGTAAATTATATTATATTGATTCTTCAAATGAGTAGTTTTTGCATTGATTATGGGTATCTATAATTTCTACATTAGTTTACAGAAGATACTATTGAAACAGTTGCACAGTTAGCATAATATGTAATGAAAATAACTTGCTTATGCACTTCTACTACATGGGGTCGATAATAACAATGTAGGTGTATCAGATAAGGTGGCCACTGTGTCTGTAATTTATATTTCATTGCTACCTCCGGTTCCTTCCTTAAGTATAGTAAATATGCATGTTGATAATTCCCGTTTGTTTTTATTGGGTTCTTAATATGTTGCTTCTGTAGCCACGTCTTCATGTCCTTTGCCTTCCATACTGTATGTGTGGGCAATCATGCATATAGGATAGCTGTGCTTGTGCAAGAGTGTGTGCAGACATTCTTTGCAGCAATTCATCCTAGAAAAGTGGGATTAATTGTCAGAGATTAGAAGCATTATTTCTGCTTTATTTCCCGTTGTGACTATTATAAGAAGACCAGATCTGGAGCTGCATATACGACACAAAGATAGTCACTGTCTTTCATTCTTCTGCTACAATTGTAATTTTCTGTGTCAGGATCAAACCATTATCAGCTTTACTCTACAGTCTGGGTATGTATGCGATTTAAAAGCCATAATGCAGTAATGTATGTGTTATTTCTTTGTGTTTTTGTTTGCTGCGCATTTAGACGCCTTGAATCCCTTGAGTCTTGTTCCTGTTTGTTTTCAGTTTCTGACTGTGTGGCAATGCACAAACAGCAAAGGCATAAGAAGAAATACAGCCCTGAACAAATCTTATAGTCTGGAGATAAATTGTGATTTAAACAATTTAGTATCAATTTGAAAGACAGCTGCAAAGATGTTTAGTTTAAGTAGTTTTTTGGTTCAATAAAAAGAGCATTTATCCCACTATTAGACAATCTTTGAGTGCAAGGCATATTCTGTTCAGAGAGCTACTCGTTTTATATGTTGTTACACCTTCCTTTATTCATTGCAGTACTTGTATAACAGTCTACTTTCACGCAGTACTGTACACTGGCTATTGAGTCCTTATCAAGCTGAAGTCATTGTTTCCCTTTGTGTACTTGGCAGGGAAGAGAATAAGGATCAAAAAGAAAACAAAGGGGGCGAGGGGTACTTTTAATTACTTTAAACAACACACCAAATTAAAGCTTTGTGCTTATGTGAAGGGTCAGCATCCAGAGAAATGTGTTTTTTCCAGTAGTCTGGACAAAGAGTAATGCTAGAGGAATCTCCATTCACTCAATCTGAAGACGAGAGGAGGAGTAGTGTATTCTTAAACTCCTTTACCTCCCTGGTATTTGAATCAGGATCAAGATTGAATTTGAATCGGGATTCAATTCAGTGATGTTTTATAATCAATTATCAGCTTGGGATACTTGAGAGGTCCACAGCCAATCCTCTGTCAATAAAAGAATGTGATGGACTTTGGGGGAGTAAAATTGGCTATTTTTAGTCAAATGGCACTGTTTTGATTATATCCATGGAATCAATACTTTCCATGTTAAAAAATAAAATAAAACTAAATAGCAAGATGATCAATATAATGAATAAAATGTGATTCATCTTTTGCCTTATTACCCAGTCCTATTTCTTTGATTCAAATTTATATTTAGGTTTTCTAGTTCTTCTTGGTTGTGTGTGTATGGTGCACAAACAACCACACTATTCATAACACGCTGTAATTCACATGGCAGGGTCACCTCCTTAACTTGTATTGCTTACACGCTGCTTCACAAAACAGTTCCTGGATCAGTGCTCCTTACCCTCGCCCCAACCTTGACCGGTACCTTCCGAGCAGTCTACGCATCTTCAGAAACAGCGATTAAAGGAAGGCAATGCACCAGTGAGGTCGCGCCCCCTCTCTTATCTTGTAACACGCTGACCTGTGAAACTCTGATGCAACTGCCTTGACCTCCGTGACACACTTTCCACACGCTCACCCAAACAAATAAACAAAAGGATCTGAGCAAATTCTACTTCTGGATTCCTGTTTGAGATGGGTGAACATTTCCCCTACAGCTTGTTGCAAAGATGTTGGAGTCAGATGGCTGGATGCGGTCAACCAGAGGACAGTGAAGAGGGGGGAGAAAACCTGTAAGCCATGTGTATAAATGTGTGTAGCTTTAAGCCATAGTGTATTGGATTACTGCATTCAAATGATAGGCTCCAAGATTAACCAATATGGACACATCCCAAAAGTAGTGCTTCCTAGCTGTTCAGTTGGCCCAGGAAGACCCGGAGCAGATGTTATGAAGGTGTTAATTTCAGTGCAGCCTGTCGTAGAGGGCACATACAGAACTCAGTGATGTCTCTTTCTACCACAAGATGACGGGCAATTAGGCCTCGTCACACTGGAGGACCATCCTCTTTATCCCATGCTCCAGACCATTACATAGATTCACCCACTGGATCCGCCAAGCCATTACAGAAAAGAAGACCTTAATGGCCCAGAGATACTTCACACTCACAGACATCTCTCCAGTGGTGGGGATGAAGATGACTGCCTCCAAGCACACTCCAAATCCTAAGTTTAGGAGTTATTTTTTTCTGTAAAAGTAAATATTTGTCATCAATCAGTAAACCAAATTATTTTAATTACCAGTGTTTTTATGTTACTGGTTAGCTGATCTGTAGAAATTATAGGCTCCTCTTTTGTCTAAAAACAGCCTTCATAATATTTTTGACATGGACAAGCTTTGGTTTTGTGCTTTTTTGCTCTTTTTTGCTAAATGTTTAATATCCAGTTTATCTATGTCTTTCTAGGGGGCAGCTATGCAAATGAACTGCCCCCTGTTGTGCAGGGGTTTGCATTATAATCTGACTTATATATCAATATGTCAAGTCCTTCCTTATGATTACGTTTGTGACTGGTTCAAATAACAGTACCTGATTTTAAACTGTGTTTCAGTGTGTTTTCAGTTTTCTTTTATTATTTTGTTCTGAACACATTCTAATCTCTAAAACAAGCCATACTTTGACATCTGCCCTCGTTAAGACCCATGTAAAGCACAGGCAGCAAAGAAATAAATATTTAACAAAGAAAATGAGAAACGCAGCTTATTATGAATGAACTTTTACCAAAACTTACACTTCACCCCTTTCACACTAAAAACTCAACTTTGGAAGGAAAACTAAGAATGGCAAAAGGGAGATGGAGTGGGAGCTGGAGACAGGCTAAAAAAGTTGGATCGACAGAAAGACAGAGGCAAAGGCGTGCGGCGGTGGATTGCAGACTCTCCTTAGCGCAGAGTCAGACATGGCAGTTGGTGACAGGTGACAAAATCAAAAGGTCAT